ATAACCCACAATCACTAAATAAGCTTAAGTGTTCTAACAAAGCCATCAACTTAACATCAATTTCTTGCTCAAAGCGTCAAGAACAACATTTGCTTTTCCTGGGTGATAGTTGATCACACAATCATAGTATTTTAACAACTTAACCCATCTACGCTATCTCAAATTCAACTCTTTCTGCGTAGGCAGGTACTTAAGGCTTTTATGATCAGTAAAGATGTGATACTTATCCCCAAAAAGGTAGTGTCTCTGAATCTTGAGCATGAAAACTAGTACTGCAAGGTCTAAAGCATGGGTGGGAATATTCCTCTCATGAGTCTTGAGTTAGCGGGGTGAATAGGCTATCACTTTTCCTTCTTGAATCAAAATGCAACCAAGCCTATTTAGGGAGGCATTGCTAAACATGGTGAAGTTTTTCCCTGACTCAAGTTGGGTCAAGACCGGGGCTTAAGTTATAATGAAATTCAACTATTCGAAGATCCTTTGATGCTTTTCACCCTACACAAATGATATTTCCTTCTAAAGTAGCTTAGTCATTGGGGCATCTATCATCGAGAAACCCTTTACAAACTGATGATAATACCCGACAAAACCTAATAAGTCGCGTACTTCAATCACATTCTTTAGCGGTTCCCACTCTAATATGGCCTTAATCTTATAAGGATCAACATGAGTACCATCTGCAGCCACTACATGACCTAAAAATGAGATTTTGGATAACTAGAACTCACACATCCCAAACTTGGCGAATAGTTATCAGTCTCAGAGTATTTGTAGAACTATACTTAGGTATTGGTCATGTTCTTCCTCTGATCACAAATAAACAAGTATGTCATCTATGAAGACCACCACAAACTACTCCAAGTACAAGTAAAAGACTATATTCATTAGGTCTATAAATGCCACCAGGGCGTTGGTGAGTCCAAACGACATCACAAGGAACTCATAGTGACCATACACCTTTAACCTTCAACTGATAGTACCCTAATCTCAATTCTATCTTGGAGAACACATATTATCCCTTAACTTAATCAAAGATGTCACCGATTCTTGGGAGGGATAACAGTTCTTGATGGTTAACTTATTTAGTTGATGGTAGTTGATGCACAACCTTATTGATCCATCCATCTTTTTTTAAAAACAATCGATTCTCCCAAAGGAGAAATACTTGGTTGGATGAAACTTTTCTCTAACGACTCTTGAATTTGAGCTTTTAACTCCTTTAGTTCCATTGTTGCCATGTAGTATGGGGCAATTAGACACCGAAGCAAATCCTGGCATCACCTCGATACCGAGCTCTATCTCTCGGTCTGGTGGTTGTCATGATAACTCTTCCAAGAATACGTTTGAAAAGTCTCGAACTGTTAGGATATCCTCGATTGTTAGAACTACAACTCAGATGTCAACCACATAAGCTATAAATACTTCACAACCCCTCTTTATAATCTTTTACACCTTTGTGACTGACACAATCTGTGAACACTTGGGCTTCTCGCTAATCATCGCGACCTTTTTCCCATTAGCCTTCTTGAGTTTAAGTTGTCTAGCTTTGCATATCAAACTAGCGTCATGCTCTAACAATCAATCTATGCCCAAGATAATGTCAAACTCTTTGAATGGTAGTTCCATTAAATCGGACAGAAAGTTCTGACCTTGAATCCCACGAGACATCTATAGTTAACCTTATCCACAAGGACATCTAATCCTAATGGACTGGACACTATAACCTCATGTCTCAATATCATCTACCAGGGTCTTTCTCTATTCCGATCCCACTACTGCCACACAAAATCCTAATAACCAAGAAGTCCTTATAATTCCAGATTTATCTGATTCTCTCACACAGAAGGAAAATACCACAGTTCCCTCCAATAATGACATTCTTATCGAAACACAACAATCTTTTACCTCTAAAGATCAACAACGGGCTCCTGACTAACTTCTTTATTCTCGGCGTTGTCATTCTCATGAAGCTGACAAAACATCAGTGTCAATTTCATCCCATCCTGAGGACTGTTATGTATCTGAAGTATCCCCGACATCATCATCCATTGATCTCCTGATTGTTGTTCGTAAGGGCACAAGGACATGCACCCAACATCCTATTTCTCGGTTTGTATCATATGAAAAATTATCTAAGGCATACAAGACCTTTGTTACTAATGTTTAATGTTGATCATGTAGAGGCTCCAATGAAGTTCGATTTGAAGCTAGTCACTAATGAAGATGTGGAAGAAGTAGATTGGGGAAGTTATCAACGGCTTATGGGAAAACTCGTATACCCATCACACACATGTCCCGATATTGCTTTTGTTGTGAGTGTCATCAGCTAATACATGCATACTCCAAGAGAGAAACATCTAGAGGTTGCCTACAAAATATTAAGATATTTAAAGGGAACTCCGGGTAAAGGTCTACACTTCAAGAAAACAACAAACCAATATGTGGAGATCTATACTGACGCGGATTGGGCAGGTTCAATTAATGACTGATGCTCTACAAGTGGCTACTGTAGCTATGTGTCGGGGAATCTTGTGACATGGAGCAATAAAAGACAATCTGTCGTAGCTTGTAGCAGTGCTGAGGTTGAGTATCGAGCTTTGTCTTATGGAATGTGTGTTGGGATTTGGATACAATGACTAATGGAAGAACTAAAAATACTACATGTCATACCTATGAAGATGTATTGTGACAACCAGGAAGCAATTAGTATAGAACATAATCCCGTTCATCACGATCGTATCAAACATGTGGAGATTGATTGTCATTTTATCAAAGAAAAGGTTGACTCAGGGGAAGTGTGCATTACCTACTTACCAACCAAACAAGTTGTTGACTTATTAACTAAGAGTCTAAATAAAAGCATGTTCGAAGATCTTAGTGGCAAGCTGCCTTTGATCATTATCTACACTCCAGCTTGATGGAGTGTTGGAATTCCGAGAATCAAGGAATAAAATTATTCCTTATTTCTAGGAGTTTACTTAGTGTAAATAGTTTCTAATTCTAGTTCCTGATTTTTAGGGATCCTTTCTTTTTCTTTGTTGTCTAATTTCCTATAAGTTGTAAGTTGTTGATTCTTTAGAATATAGAGAAAATAAAATTATCTTTTCCTCTCGTAAATTTGTACACTAAGTTTTACTTGATTATATGTCTTGTTATTGAGTCAGATAGGTCAATGCATTTCATTCTTTGATAAAGGACTAGCTTTTGTAGTATCATTTTTTATGATCACCGAGTAATTATGGCAACTTTCCAGGTTGATATTGACTTTGATAAGGAGCCAATTGGAACTGGGAAGGACGGTAGGAGTGTCTATTTTAAGGATATTGGCCATCTACTGAAGAAATTGCAGAGGTAGACAACCTAAAATTTGCGTAAAATTTCAAATTTCGTGTATTTATGCATGAAATTAATAAGCTTGAACTGATCTGCTGTTTTAGGCTGTTCAATCCAGTGTCTTGCGAGATATGTTCAAAAGTACTTGTGAGGCTATTACAAAAGGCAATCCCATGTGGAATCAACTACCTGTGCCTTCTTCGACCATGTACTCATGGGACCCCAACTCAACCTACATTCATGAGCCTCCATACTTCAAGAACATGACCATGGAACCTCCTGGAGCCCATGGCGTGAAGGATGCCTACTGCTTACTGAACTTTGGTGACAGTATAACAACGTATCACATTTCTCCTGCAGGAAGCATCCATAATGACAGACCTGCTGCAAAATACCTACTTGACCGAGGGGTAGATCGCAAGGACTTCAATTCATATGGAAGTCGTCATGGTAACGATGAAGTGATGGTTTGAGGAACTTTTGCTAACATTCGCCTTGTTAACAAGCTGTTGAATGGGGAAGTTGGCCCAAAAACCATACACGTCCCTACTGGAGAGAATATGTATTTGATGCAGAAATGGTGAGTTCTTCGATGTCAGGTTTCAAATCGCGGTCGCAATCGCGTTTTCAGTCATTTCATGTTTACCGTGATTGTGGCCGTCGTGGGCGCTATTGCATGTGTAGCGGGTAATTCGGACGGCGGCGCTACCTCTATTTCGCGGGCGCTATCACATTTTGAAACCCTGCTTCGATGTTAAACCAATTTATTATCTTATTGCAATGACATCTTGTTTTCCTAGCTCTACTTTCATCACCGAGATTTGTTTTCAATAAATGCCAATTTTACAATCAAATTATTGGTTTTGTATGGAATATGTTTTAATCAGGTTATTTATGCAGTCATATTATGCAAATAGTAAGCTCGACAATCAATCTGTAATTTCAGAGGTACAAAGACTCCGGATATGACAGCATTGTTTTAGCTGGAGCCGAGGAAGTGGTAGCTCCCGAGATTGGGCTGCAAAAGGTCCAATGCTATTAGTAAGTCTTTTGATGTGCTTTGCTTAGCTTAGTTGAATTCAAACTGTAAAAAGCTCAACTTCTACTCGAATTTCGAATCAAAGCTTGGTTCAAACTTGATCAAAATTCACTTTTAAAGTGTGATTAAAGATTTAAAATTAGAGAAAATCGAGCAGCTTGAGCTCACTCTATTAGATTTGATTAAACTCGTTTGTCTAGTAAAAAATGAGCTTCATATGTTGAGCTGCTCAACCTTGACTAAAAGATGAACAAGATGATTTAGAATTAATTTTTGTTGCGTTTAACTCGAGTAGGTTGCTGCATGGTTGATGTTTTGTGCACCTGAGTAACTTTGTTGCACAACAGGGAATAAAAGCATTAATTGCCAAAAGTTTTGAGAGAATCCACCGAAGTAATTTGGTAGGAATGGGCATCATTCCACTTTGTTTCAAGTCTGGTGAGGACGCAGACACACTAGGCTTAACTGGTCAAGAACGTTATACCATAGGTCTCCCAAGCAAAATAACCGATATAAGACCTGGCCAAGATGTGACTGTTACGACGGACAATGGGAAGTCTTTCACCTGCACTGTCCTCTTCGACACTGAGGTACCAAATGGTTTAGAATACTCTTTTTTTCTTTTTACGTGCAAAATAGTGCAGCATGCATTGTGCTTTATCATCTGCTATCATGCGATTATCATGCATGGTCATTGCTTTTTAATGAAGAGATGCACATCCTTGTCTGAAACATGCAACTTACCCGATATGGTTATTACAGAAATCTTAGTTTAGATGTCTCGATTTATGTTATTCGGATTTAGGTGTGAGTTTTGAATATAAATGTGTTTTTTAGAATGGATATTTTAAAGTTTTATATGCTTTTAGTACCAGAAGTGAGTGTGTTTTAAAATTGCAGGTTGAATTGGCCTACTTCAACAATGGTGGCATACTTCCTTATGAGAAACTTGATTAAGCAGTAGATGCGTTTTTGAACCATTTTCAAGAATCCGATCATACCAAATAAAGCATCAATGACTAATGTACACAACATTTTCGAGAATTAGAAGTATGAGAGCTGTTTTGAATTTTGAAACACTTCAAATACCTTTTTCATAGTTAAACCAAAAGTTTCTTATAAAATTCACACAAATAAGTATGATAGATCACACACATGATAAATTTCCTTCTTTATATTTATACATAGAAAACACAATTTAAAGTTTGTGAAAGAAATGCAGATACTGATGTTTAAGTCACTACAGCAAAACTATTATGTAGCAGTGTTTTTAGCGGCATTTGGAGAGTAAACGCCACAAACTTTAAACATATAGCGGCGTTTACAATCCAAACGCCACAAAATGAAATTTTAGAGGCGTTTCTTTAACAAACGCCATGATAGAATAGTAATTTAGCTGTGTTTTTAGCACAAACGCCGTAATAGGGTTCGTTTATAGTGACGTTTTTTCAACAAACGTCGCGATAAAGAGTACTTTAGTCGTATTTTTAGACAAATACCACAATAGGGTTCATCAATTGTGGTGTTTGTTAACGATGCATACCTCGTTCGAAGGTAATTTAGGAGTAACTTGTAAAACAAATGATTGATTTCGATGAAACATCAGTGTTCTATACTATGCAGCTGTATATTTGCACCCTTATAATTTTTATAAAATAACAGAGATACACTTGCTCCCATTAAATTTTATCAATTTAAAAGTTTTATAATTTATGAGTGATTAGTTTTATACTATGCAATTATTATCATGCACTAAATCTGATAGTTTAATGCTTATGATTAGGTTTTAATTTTCTCTATAATATTAACAATTAACATTTGAAATTGAAACTCCAGAAATACGAAATGGATAAGAGTTGGATGGATTTCTCATGGGTAAGAGTCGAATATAGTCATTAATTAAACCGTTTTCAATGTTGTTTGTTTATTACATATATCTTGCTGAGGAGAAAAATAAGTGATTTGCGGATTGTTCGAGCTTCTAAAGAGCATGAACAAACAAATAATGAGGAATCGAATGATCTTGACTCTTCGGAAGTTCCTATAACTGTTGAAGAAGCTGTAGAAATTCATGGTAATGTTCGACACTTCATTTAATAGTTTGTTCGTTTTGAAAACTGACATTTAATAATTTCTTATATAGTTGAAAATGCTGGAACAAGCAAGACTAGAGGATGTACAACGTTGAAGGAATTATACCAACTTCCTCCTGGGCACCGTGTCAAAGTTTCAAGAAATGATGTCGGTCAACCTATGGGCTTAGAAGCACGTTTTTTATCCGGTTACTTAGGCATAGTTGGACGTACTGCTAATCTTTTACCGATCAATTATAAGTCATGGCGCGAAATGCCTAATAGTAACAAAAATCAGGCTTTGGATTTTGTTAAGGTAATAATGTCATTATAATAGATACTCTATAATAATTCAATAGTAATTTATACTTACTTTGAACACTTATTTGTTGTATAGGAGAAATTTTCTTTAGAGGTCTCTGACGATTATTTGAAGCAATAATTAGGGAAGAGATAGAGAGACCACAAGAGCTCATTAAAAAAGAAATACTTCAAGAATGATCTCGGCCTTGAAGAGAAGCTACATATTATCCCACCTGGAATGCTAAGGTATCAATGGGAAGATACAGTCAGATTTTGGAGTTCACAAAAAGGACATGTACGAATTATTTTTCAAAAATAATTTTAACGAATTATAATATTGACTTTATAAGTGGTTTTCTGAAATTTTAGGACCGAGAGCATGTTGGTGTTGCTAGCAGACAACAACAAAAGTTTAAGCACACGGCTGGATCGAAGAGCTTTGATTGTATAGCTAATGACGAGGTATTATATATTATTCACATAGTTATTTGTATTCCATGTACATACTAACTCAAATTAATTATATTATGGTACATTGTAGGAAAATACATCTGGTTCTAAAGTTAGCCGAATCAAACTCTTCGACATGACACATACAAAAAAGGATGGCACTCCTATGATTGCTGAAGTTGCAGCAATTATGGTACATTTATTGGATAGATGATTTGAATTATGTTTTATTTATATATGTAGTATGACATTTTTATTTGAATTAATTATTTACTTTATTATTAGCAAAAATTGAGGGAGAAAAGGGCGGAGTATGAAGCTACGGCTTCGAGTCATGGTCTTGTTAATGTGGATGACATTGAAAATCAAGCTATTAATGGTGTTTTGAGTCTTGAAAGATATGGTTGGGTTCACTGTCAAGGATAATTCGTTACTCTCACCAAATATTTTGGATCCAGTTCATCTCAGTACATGTCATCACAGTCTTCGTCTTCCCAATTAGAAGTTAGTCGTTTAAAACAAAAGTTGGCTGAAATGGATCAATAAATGGCTAACATGAAAGCCGAAAATGAAGCGAGGGAAGCAGAGAGAGAAGCAACATATCAGCAAAAATGTAAAGAATTTGAAAATTGACTAGAAGCTATGATGCAGATAATACATAAAACGCAATATCAGAATCCACCATCTTAGGTCTTATTTATGTTATATATTTTGTTAATGTTACTAAACAATGTTTAACTGCATTAATATTACGTTAATGTAAACTTTTATTTACTATAACGGATTTTATGTTGGTTGTTATGGAAATAGAGTTTGTTGTTATAGATGTCATGTTTGTTGGATAATGGAACAGGTTGAAAAAAATAAATTTGGGGTAATGGAAGAAAAAAAATAAATTGTTGTCAATTCTATGTTAATTAGTGGCGTTTGTAATAAAAAAATGCCACTAAATAACATAAACAATACCGGCGTTTTACATAAAAAAGCCACAAAAATTTTAGATAATCTGCGGCGTTTGTATAAAAAATGCCACTATATACCAGAACTTTTGCGGCATTTGTATCCGAAAAACGCCGCTAAATATCTTAACCTTTTACGGCGTTTGTCCAAAAAACATTGTTATATCTCTTCACCTATTGCAACGTTTGTCCCAGAAACGCCGCTATATCTCTTCACCTATTGCGGCGTTTATTCCAAAAACACCGCTATATCTCTTCACCTATTACGGCATTTTTTGTTATCAAACGTCGCGAACTTTAGCGGCGCTAGTTTTCCCGGCGCTTTTCGCTACGTTTTTCATATCGTCACAAGCGTTTTAGTATATCTAAAATGTCACAAATGCTCTTTTTTGTTGTAGTAAGCTCAATCTACTGTATAAACACTTTAGGTACTTTCTAAACCAACCATATAAATTAAGTATAAAATAATCTATTAAAGTAATCACTTTCATTTTATTTTTATTCACTTTGTGGAAAAGATATTTTTGGTGTGTGTTATTTTTTGTAGGATAATGATGACTGGATAAATCTACCTCGCTCAAGATAAGCAACACAAAAAGGGGATAAATCCTAAAAATCTGGATATTCACGTAGAAATTAATGAGATAAAAAAGTCTGATTTGCAAGGGATTTGAGGATAAAGATAAAAGAGATTTAGTATATCTTTTATTTCAATTAAAACTCATCCTCATCAACAACCAATTTAACCTAATCATCTCCTATAAATAAGAAAGAAATTACAATATGCAAAAGGGGTGGCCGACTAGAGAGAAAAGTTGAGCGCACATCTTCTTCATTGTTTCTTCTTTTGCACCCAACTATGAACTAAACTAAATTGGCTTGGCTTGGGTTATTGGATTTTTCTGATTGTGAAAACGTTTGGATTTGTTTAGGTTTTTTTTATTGCAATTTAATTTTCAAGTTTGTTCATTATTGGTTCTTAATTTGATTTCGAGTAAATTGGGAGAGGATCTTGAGAATTATCCATTTATCTAATACGGGAGTGTTAGATTCAAGAAATTAATGAGCATGATATTCATTCAAACGAAACGGTGGTGAAGGTTAATCCATCTTAGGGATAAGATTTGAATTTCAACTACTAAAAGGAGCACAAGATCGGTTGTTCTTCACAGGGATGTATGACCAAGGCATGCACAATTGACCATTCTTCTGGTTAGGAATAATAAAAAGACATTGAAGAACACTTCGTTGAGCTTTGAAGGAGAAAACCCAATTGCTACGATAATGGAATAATTTCCAGTTGTCATGGCAATCGAGTTGCCTCGGCAATAATTTACCCAGACTATCCAAACAGTCATCACACCGCACTTCCCGATAACCCGGCCTACTCTCTTATTCACTCACAATCTACTTTTATATATTTGCTCATTTATTTTACTTATTATTAAAACTCCTACTATTACTAATTTATTCTTTTTTACTGTACAAAAAGTTAGAACACAGAGTTACACAAATCCCTATGAAGAGAATATCTATTTTATACCATTAACTAAGATAAAGGAGTAGACATAAATGGATAAATAAATAGTGGGTTCCATCGTTTCTATGGTTACTTCTTAAACCGTGAGGCCCTCTATATATACCGTAGTCCATTTCTTATAACTTGCGATGTATATACAATTGCACGAAGCACTTAAATCACGACATAGCTACCATTCCAAATCCACCAAATTCAATCTTTAATTTTACCTTTTCGAAGTTTAAAATAATAACAATAAAAGAAATAATAGCAAATTCTTGGCAAGATCCAGAACTCGATACCATAATCAATATATAAACCAGCATCATTTTTCCATTCCTGCAGCTGTGATTTCCTTTTACTAGGTTTATATTTTTATTGTTCCAATAAACTTTAAGTCCTTCAACTCTATACTCCGAGAGAATACCTAAGAGAAGCTTCACAGTCAAAATCAATTTGATCACTGATCTTCTGCAAGTTCTGCAACATTTTGATTTGTCAATTACGTCAGTTTATTTTGCAACAAGCTCTATTTGATTCATGTATGTATACTTTGAGAACTATAACCTAATATCTTGAAATTTTACATGTATGTCACTTGAAATGGAGAACATCCTTGAATTCTCGTGAACTGTATTTTCATGCTCTTATCTGAGTCTTGAAGTCATTTGCTGTCCAATTACATGCTAATTTATTCCTTGTTTCAGTTTGACATTACAGCATATATGACTGTGGAATGATGATGAGAGGATGGTTTCAAGTTCAAGAGAAAAGGGTTGTTTTCAAGCAAAGCAAGAAGGCAAAATCAACAGTGATGGCAGCAAGGTCTCCCAGGTTCCATCGAGTTCGAGGCGGTGGTTTGGATTTCAGAATCCGAGGATTGTCCGAGTGTCGCATTTTTTCAGCGGGAAGAATAAAGGACTGTCGGATTAGGCTTTCAGTGCCGACCGCAATTCAACTATATGATTGGCAAGATCGGCTAGACCTTAACCAGCCTAGCAAAGTTGTCAATTGGTTGCTTGAAGCAACCAAAGATGATATTTGTAAGTTTCCACCACTTCAGCTTCATCCGCCATTGATGGAAAACAATCCATCTCAATCATGTTCTTTTGCACCTTTTTGGATCTAAATTTGATGTTCATAAAAGATTGTGGAGGGGAAGATGATGAAGATCATCAGTGCATGGGAATTGAAGAGAAAAACATGCAGGTTGAAAAGGGAAAATATTAAAGACACGAAGGGAAAATGGATCAAAGAACAAGAAAATCTAATTTACCCAACAAACAATTATGGTCCAGTTGTTCAACAACGGGGCTTCCAATTCCATGACTTCCAACACTTAAAATAACTGTCATTGGGAGCCATCTTCGAATCTATATTTGTCTTCATTTTAGTTCGGAAGCCATGGATTCCATCACCAACCTAAACATTACTTCAATGGTCCGTCATTACTATCCTCACATTGTCAATTATTTTTCGGTGCACCGTCACTTTTTTTGACATACACTTCATATGGGAGGACAACTACAGGTGATAATAAATCATTTCACATTATTGAACTCAAAACATCCCAACATTTCCATGAAAAATAAATCCTATCGAATCAGGTGATTAAAATGAAATAAAAACTTAAGTTTAGTGATGATTCTAGAAAAAATTGTTAGATAATCAAAAGAGAATTGCATAAATAGTTGAGTAACTAAATGTGTAATTTACCCCTGTATTTTTTAACGAGTTAACCTTTTATGGCAACGGTGGTATTTAAGCCTATAGAAATATATTTATAAGAATTTAACAGAAGCAACTTGTCGTATACACACGAAAAGCCAAAACCCCCGAAAGGGTGGAAGCGAATTTTGAGGAAAAGATGAAATGGGAAACGTAGGTTGTGAGAAAGATAAAGGAAGAGATTGGGGGGTAAATGTGTGGCAGTTGCAAGCGTCCAAGAGAGAGTGAGAAATGATCCTCAATTACTGCCTGAAATGGCACCATCTTCATTTGGCGTTCCAAAGGAGATGAAGATGAAGATGAAACAAGGAAGGTAGACCTCAGAGTGGGGATATTTTCAGGTAAATCTAGCTATACTCCTGTTTCTGTAATGAAAGTATGTTCAATTCCGACAGATAATAAAACCATGAGATTAGGAACCTCCACACACCATTCCTGGTTTCAAGCACGCATTCATTCATGCATTTAAAGAAATCGAGCAAACTCGGACAGTAGACTCCCTGAAACAGGATAAGAGGATCAAGATTCTTTAACCAAATTAACATTATGAAGACATATATACAAGTAACGGACTTGAAAATGAACCCAAGGTTCTGATTGAATTTGATCACAATTATCAACTTTTTATGTTTTCAACTTATGGATTTGATTATGCATTTCTTTTTACTTAAGGAGGATTAGGGAATTATGTGTGAGATATTCTTAGAAAAGACAAGATGTATTGGGTATGAGCGCTGAAGTTAGTTGGGCTCATTGGACTAATTTTTAGGGTACATTATACCCATGTCCACTAAACTATGGGTAGATTTCATTTTGATCACCCATCTTTCAATTTTGTCAATTAGACCACTTAACTATTTAAGTGTTATCTATGGTTAAGTGGTTTGATTGATAAAATTAAAAGATCGATGATCAAAATAAAATCCGTCCATGTCAGGTCATTTCCAATGTTGAGTTTGAATCATTTTAATTTCATGGAATCATGTTGAAATTCAGGTTGAACGGATTTAAGTTCTTAACATTTGAAGATTTAATTGAGTGAAATTAGGTTCAGGTTAATTAATCAAATGGAAATTTTGAATCTAAGAACTATTGTCTAATCTAAATATATAAATAAACTTGTTATCGAAGAAAAAGAATGAATGAAGATGCCAGGCACGAATCTATCTTGGACACTCAAATCGGGGTGGAAACTCACTTTTTCTCCAAAAAAAACTGACAAGGATTCTTATAGTTTTACAGGTAAAACAAGGCATAACATTTCTTTTTCTTGCTAATGATAAATTGTAGTATGAATGAGCAATATAATAAATCTTTCTACCCATCTGAATAGATATGTACAATTTCAATCTACAAAACTGGAGGTGCTGCATTTTGAAGAATCCCCTTTTTCACCAACATATCATACACTCTATCCACCTTGCTTGCTTCAACTTTGAACAGGTTGTGAGCATCAGATTTCTTGCTAATATTTCCCTTCATAATCTCCATTGATAAGGTCTGCAACATTGACAGATAATGTGATGGCAGTATTCTGATCTCACTGCACAGCTGTTTCTCCTGCACAGGATAAGAGACTCAAAATCCGAAATGATATTCGAGATGGTCTAGACACAAATAGTTTCCGAATAAACTTGATGCTACTTTATGTTTCACATTTATCCGTAAAGTTGGAAGTTAATGTAGGTAGAGTTGTAAACAATATATGTCTATGCATTGTAGAACAAGGTAGGTAGGGCGTCCTTACAGTATCCGACAACAAATCTGATCCTATGAATCCAGTGATATCCCAATCATCCAGGGTGCTTAATGTAGTTTGTCCCATGAAAGTTGATGATTCTTTACCGGAAGGTTGTAAACCAGTGGATCCTCTCACGACACCTCTCGGACTGCCATGCAGTAACACTTTGCCACTAGGACCAGCTTGTACACTTTCCTTGAGTCTCTGGGCATTTTTTTCAGTTTCCTTTTTTCTCTTCTGTTCAATAAATTTATTGGCTTCAGCAGTGGTTCGGCAACCAGCAGCTCGAGCTTCCTGCACATAAAATTTACGTGAATGGTGTTAAAAAGTTAATGTTTAAATAGATGTACTTGGAGGTTCAGCCCCAAGGGATAGTAATCAATGTGGAATTTTGAACCATTTGGAAATGAAGAATTACAACAATTTGATTAAAAGATGAAAGCCTGAACCAAGTCAAAAGCATATAGTTACTAATTTCTAATATCAAGCTTCACCACTTCTGAATGCAGTTAAAAATTTAATCGAACTTCAATCTCCACGGAAACGTGATTTTAACTTTGTGGGAATCTATACTAGTTCATAGAGTGAATGGAAGTATACAAAGCACAAAGCAAGCATTTTAACCTGAAGTTCTTGTATTCTTTTGACAATCCGATGTTCCTCTATGACACTCTTAAGCAACTCTTGATGCTCTTCTTTTGAGTGGAAGCGCATAAACACCTTGTAACGCTGGTATATTTCCCTCTCCTCGGGTGAGAGGTTTCTCTCGAAAGGGTCGGGGTAAAGTAAATTTCTTTCAAGGATAAAATCCTTCCTGCGCTTCCTCTCATCAAGCCTGTCAATAAACCACTGTACCATAAATCTGAACACTCAAATCTGATACAAGCTAACAATACACCATCCAACATAATTTGCAATATGCGGCATGATATGCTACTCTACAGCCAGTTATAACCAAAGATAAAACTACTAGTAAAGTGAAATGACAATACAAAAGCAACCACACAAGACACACAGCTCAAAACATAGAACTGTACAAATGAAAGAATGCAAGCAGAAATCATTCAGCTTGAATGCACTAAAAATCTCCAAACAGTTCGCACTCAAGATTTAATGTAGAGACAGATTCTGCAATCAAGTCCAAATTATCATGATATCGTGGGAAAGTTCTGTCCTGATATTTGATGGTGCGTGAAGTTCAAATCTCACATGCTCTGGACTTCTGAGTTTTATTCTTAACACCTTAGAGGAGCTTCAAGTAGTTTTCAAACTCAAGATTAGGTGTTTAGAGAAGTTGCTTCATTTCACATATTGAGAATTTGAGCGTATGTAATCTTTTCTTTCAGAACTATCACTTTCTATATTTCCTATATGATCTCTTAATGAAAAATGATGATGGTCAGTGTCCTATAAGACCTTTTCCATGTCAAGAGACAAGGTTTTGGGACTTGCATACTCATTGTACATAGATAAATACCTTTTTGAGTATATATGTAGTACACGCAACTTCAATTCACGCTCAGCCTTAGTGTCGGTATCCTTAAATTCCATGTCTGCCAATAACTGCTCCGCATCATTATCATATTCAATTTCAAATTCCTGCCTCTTGGAATTATAGCCACTCAGCTCAGTTATAGAAGGTTCCTCCTCGGTGAAAACCCTAGGTTTTTTCTCGCCAATGCTCCTGTCTGATTGAGGTTCTGATAACAAGGTTTAAGAAAGAAGGTATTATGAACTTGCCCAACAAATCCGTGGAACATGACCAACAACATACATCATATTAATCACCAAAATTAAAAGAAGGGGCAGCTCAACTCACAAACTCACTTTAGAGAGAAAATTAATTTATTACTATTTTCTTCACAAATTATGGTTACGAAGCTTATAGTCGAAATCCTTTCTTTCAAAATAATTCATTTCACAATACTTACAGACTGCCTACTGTCACTTGTTAGATTGGCATTCCCATGTTGGCAGTCCACAATTTCATGCAGAATGTAAAGTCACATGCGCATGATAAACAGCAATATGAGAGAACATACCTTCTACTTTAATGCCTTCTTTATTCTGAACCATGTTGGAGGTCTTTTTGCCAGCACCTGGGAATGTGTTGCCGCCACTGCTTGAATCAATACGAGACCCTATTTCTGATGCCAAAGAGAATACATTATGTTCATATAAAAAATTGTTTCCACACAATCATGCCTTTCAAAAAACCAAAGGGGCAGCCCCACATTCAATAAAAAAAATGTCTCAAATTTGCTGATGTCATACCTCCGGTTAAGCTAGATGATGATTGATGAGCTGGGTCTTCTTTTCTTGGTGCCTCGTATCTGATTATGGGAGATTCACAAATGAATCACCAAAACTAAAACAAGACCCAAAAAAAAAGATATGAAGGGGAAAACAATTACTTGACTTTTGCACCGGAGGAAGACTGTTGTTTCAGGGAAAGCTCACCATGTGTGGTGAATTCTGCATAAATAACCATTTAGTCTAGCAACTTCATTTCACGAAAGCACATGCAAAATCTAGGACTATCAGAAATCGAATAAGACAGAGAAGAATATTGACAATTTGCATATCACTCTTGTTCCCAAGAAAAAGAAAGTGATCCAATTAGACAAAAATAAACGTGGGAAGGAAAACAGCCAGAAAAAAATCATCTTGATAGCAACAATTTAGCAACTGGGAATTACTTGAAAAGGTTTAGTCTAACCTTTTTTGACTTGACCATTCCCTTTGGCCATGGCAAGGAGCTCCTCTCTGCTCTTTCCCATAACATGAGACAAGTCCTAAGAAAATATCCATGCAATGTACTCATTATTACTAGAAAATCATATTTTTATGTTTATTTACGTATTTTAGCATTTGCACATGCTTATGTGGGTAGTGTCTTTAAAGCCAAGATTATAACAGGAGTCTTACTGCCAGAGGAAAACAAGGAGAGTTCATGTATATAGCATTATAGTGATCAATACATTGTGATTTGCTCTTGGTTCCAACATGTTCTGCAACTTCAGCCCAATTCCCGAATCCGTACATTTCAATCCCCTGAAAATAAAAATCCATCATCAAATCATCAAATCCAACGGAATACAGAAGAATATGAGCAGCAGTTGCCAGATATGTTAATCAATCAAAAACCAAAATATGCCCCTAAAAGTACAAGCTAGCATATAGGCATACCTCAAGAAGCAATATCTCCTCATCTGCATTCCAGTCTGGACAAATAAGTGGGAAAGACAAATTGTCCTGCATGGAAAAAAAATTAACATGCATGCTCCAACCAATAGCAAAAGGAGCAAAACCATGTTTAAAGTCATCTATCATAAGAATAAATGAAGGAAATAGAGTAGATGGTGAAAAGAATGACAGCTTTTGATGCCAGTTAGTACACAAATTCACAGATGGTAATCACTAAGTTGTGTCCCACCAAAAAAGTGGTTCCAGGATAGGTGAACAAGGTTTCCAAGCATTGAGCAGAAAGAAGAGGGTGCGGTGGATGCAGTTGTAATGAAAATTATGAAACCTATGGTAAGAACTTCAGCAAAAAATGGATCGGTATTTAACAGGAAACAAATCTGTTATTAACTCGCTTAAAACTTAAGTAACCGTGTTTCATTGACATTTATCAAAATTTCTGGTATATTTTACTTGGGTTAACCATCACTGATATGCTATAACCTTGAACTGCTAAAGGAAAAAGTAACTCGAAAGAAGGTGACTAACCATAACCCTGAATGGATGATTGCCTTTGTGAGGAGAAATTTCAGCTCCAACGGAAAAGCATTCAAGACAAAGATCAAAATCTGGACAAACTGCACACTTAATCCGAACCATTCCAGAAAGATCCTTGTTGCAATAATTACAGTGATATAAAGCTGGCCCTTTTGCTTCACTTGGTACCTGCCCAACGCCTTATTGAAAGAAATGGAATCAATGGAGAAGAACAAAATTAAACGATAAACACAATCATATCTATAATGGTCATCCCTTAAAAAAAAGAGGAGGCAGGACTTCAGAATTTGAAGGAATTGCTAAACCAGTAGCATTTCTTTTTCATTAATACTTTTCAGCCATTAAGGGTTCAGTTCAATCCATACTTCTACTATTTGGTTTCTAGTAATTGCCTTTATTTCCAAATAAAGTTAACTTTCTAAAAACCTACTTCTGATAAAAATAGGAGGTAAAAGTTAATATAAAAGCCCAGCACGAAATCTAATCATTCTATATGATAAAAGTAAAATTTTGCATTTTGTAATCAAAGTAAAACCATACATTTTATTCTTAAAATTGTACTGTTACTCATTTTGCAACTAAACAAGCTTTAGAAAGATTAAATAATAAACGTAATCTTGTCATACCAGTAGATGGGAGCTCTACATTGTCGACAACACTAGACCCGGTCTTTTTCCTTTTGGATCTAAGAAAGAAGGGCAAATTTTCAACTAGAAACAAGATCCTTGAAGGGAATAATTCATAAAATAAATTAAATAAAAAAACGAAAAAGAGAAAGACCTTTGATTGAGATCCTCTTCAGTGGGACGAGAGACTGCCCTCGATCGACCCATGCCTTCAATTCACCTAATTGCGCCAAACAGTAGCCACTCAAAACCCTAAATTACTCGGAAATGGATAAAGAGATACCATAATAAATTTGGGTTTTTAGAATTTTAGGGGAAAAAAGGGAATTGAACTTTTAACGGTAACTGCTTACTGAAGATGAGAAAAACGAGGAAGGAAGTGAGGAGCGAGAAAGTTTGAGAGACTCGAACCTATTTTGACCCGTACCCACAACTTGTCTTCTACTTAAAGCTATGCTTACTATCCACATCATGAGGAATCGGCATGGATGAGGCATGGGTCAGATTCAGGATAACTTGATCCGATTTAAAATTTATAAATATTTTTTTGAATTGATTTTAAAAATATACTTTCTCTCTCCATCTGATTCGAATGCAATTTGATTTTTTTAAATAAAATCTGAACATTATTTGACCCGATTTAAAATAATATATTTATTAAAATAATATCAATTTTATTTAATAAAAACAAAGATTTAATTAAAAAATAATATATAAAGGGATATTATTATAATTATTTTTGAATATATAAAATAAAATTATATTTTTTTGGATCAAGTTGGTTTAGGTATTTTCACCCTAAACATAAACCTGACTCGAACATAACTTTTAAAAAAACTCGACTCAACTTAAACCAAAAATCTCTTTAAAAATCTGACCCGAACAAATCGGATCGAATCAAAACTCGTTATGTTCAGATCCTATCCTATGATCATCCCTAATTATAACTCTATTTCATTAGGTTTGAACCTAACCCGCTCTTTCGAAAAAATGAGATTGTTCGTATGTTATTAACTTAATTGAATAATAAGTGTGATTCTGGTATACTGATAAAATTATTCTCTAACATTATAAATATTAAGATAATTTTATCATTACAACAACAACAACAACAAAACTCAATTCCCATATGCAATGGGGTAAGGGGGAGGTAGGGTAGTAGGCTGCCCCCAACGCCAGGTTGAGAGTAGCTTCCGTGGAAGACCTCCGGCAGTCAGAAAAATAAAAATATAGATAAAATGCAATGCATATATAAATAAATACATAAATACATAGTTATACAGTATTCATATGCAGTCATTAATATATAATTTTATCATTACGTTTTTTATTTTAAATGTTTAAAAAATTCAAAATACTAAGTTTTATTTTGTGACCACTTTTCGGTTGTACGATAATTATTGATAAAATCCTCAAATCTTATCATTTTAAATTTTTTTCATCTACTCACTGTTATGAAACGAAATTAAAATGTTTTGGAACTGAAATTTTTTAAGTTGAAGGTTCTAATTTCACTTTTACATAAATGGATTTTTGCAATTAAAGTGTTTATGGATAATTGTTTTAGACTTGATTTTTAATTTTGCAAAAAAAAAAAGAATAGAAATGAAGAGGTATAAATAAACTTTGATACATGAAAATACATGAATTCTTAAAATTAAAGTGTTTGATACTTATAATTGTTTTATTTCTCAATAATGAACTAAATTTTAAAATTCTTTTTTTCTTGTTTGTTTCTCTTTTCTATCGGTTTTCTTTTTTCTTAGAGGCCTTGTTAAAACCACTCTTCATAATTACTAGAACACCAAAAGGTATTCTAGTAAAAAGCGGAATGGAAAAAGAGTGCCTCATATTTTATTAAGATATAAAGGAAAAATTACAAAACGTTTAGTACAATTAGATCCTTAGTCGAAACATACAACTCAGAAACTATTACACCAAAGAAATCGACCAAATCCTAAAAGAAAATTCCTCCCTACCAATTCCAGCCTTTGCTAATGTATCTGCTTCAAAATTTGTTGGCTTAGCAATCCACCGAAGAATTTCTTCCATGCTTCTGATTCTTTCCGCTAATTCCTTGCAAATGATATCATACCTATCCGGACATGTATCCGGATTCTTTATACATTCCATAGAAATATTACTACCACTTTCAATAATCAGCCGCTCTTTAGAATTTCAACTCGAAACACCAAAGAAGTTCAAACCAATCCTAATAGCCATCAATTCTAGAAAAGCTGGGGGTCCAGGACCAGACAGTTCTGAGAAAGTCTCTAAAATCAAATTGAAATTGTCTATAAGGATACCATCTATGCCACCTACTCTCCCCAATTATCTTTAACTATTGCATCCATATTTAGTTTGAAAAAACCCTTAGGAGGGGATCCAAGATACCAAAAATGATGGTTTTGGCTTTATAAAGAGATCAAAGTCCCCAACTAAAGGGTCACTTATAAGGGAGTCCATCGAAATTGGAATTTTAGGAAATTTCGCAAGGAAAACTAACACATTGAAGACTAACACATTCATACTTTTCCAATGAAGAACAATTGAGTTGTATCTAAGACCCCCTTATCGAAGACTAACACATTCCTACTTTTCCATATTGTCTATAAAACCACCTATGGAATAAATCTTCAAATTGTCGATTGAGAAACCAAATTTTTCCAGGCTTGTAGGAAATTAACAACATTTTCAGGTAAGGCTGCTGAAATTTTCCAAAAAAAAAAATTGTTTCATAGCCTCCACGCAATTTTACAGGAAAATAATAAATAAGAGGACATCTCTATTTCTTGATTACACATAGGGCATAGGGGGTCCATAATCCCTTGGACACCTCTTCTAATGAGATATGCTCTGACAACCAGCCTTTGATGAACAACCTGCCACATGAATGTCTCCACCCTTAGTGGAACCAAGTCCTTCCAAATGTAGACTTTCCAAAACTGATTTGTTGCATCATCGCTTGAGCAAGTTTTAATGCAGGTTTTGGTCCTATAAATTCCATTTCCACTTTTCAAATTCAAACTGCATTTATTAATAAGGGACATTAACTCGAGCCACTGATCCAATTCCCAATCACTCAAATTCCATCTCGTTTCATAGTTCTATATCCATCCCATATTTCTTAATTCTCCAAACTTGGACAATATTCCATTTTGGTTAGTAGAAAGAATAAAGAGCCTAGAATACAAGCATTTTAGAGGGGCTACCAAACTCTAAGCATCATGCCAAAAATAAATATTTTCACCATTCCCCACCTTAATTTGAAAGCAGCCAAAAAAATCTTGAGCCAAAAGCATCATTTTTAAAAGATTGTTGACCACATTCCTCTAAATCCATAAAGCATTCGCTGGAATCCTATTATTGAACAACAAAGCTATATTATATTATAATTACTGTAAATTAATTTTCTCCAAACTAAATCCTTATCATTAGTGAATTTCCAAGACCACTTCCCAATTAACGCTCTATTATTTAAATTAAGATCTACAACACCTAATCACCTATTCTATTTTGGCTTACAAACCATTAACCAATTGATCCAATGAATTTTGTTTTCTCTACTCCTTCCCCCACAGAAAAAAAACCATTATGGAATCAAGTTTCGTAATGACACTTGCCAGAAATCTGAAAAATTTATAGGTAGTAATTCTGAAGGGAACATAGGACCGATTTCAATAGAACAAGTCTGTCAACCATAGATAAAGTTGCAGCTTTCTAACCAGCTAATTTACTGTGAAATTTTAGAGCAATTGATTCTCATAAAACTGTTGAATTCTTCTTTACACCCAGCGATAATCCTAGATATTCTGAGGGAAAGTGCACAACCAATAGTCACCGCCCATTCTCTAATTTCTTCCTCATTTGTATTAATCCCGAAAAGTTTACTCTTCGATAAATTCAATTGCAGTACTGACATTACTTCAAACACACACACAAAACTCTCTTAACATTTTTAATTTAGCTTATCAAAGCTCCGCAGAAAATTATAAGATGATATGCAAATTACAGATGAGAAAGCTTGAAATACCCCTCATTCTTCCCTAGAGAAAAACCACAAAACAACCCAATAGAGACTGCCTTGACCAGTAGTAAATTGAGGAGTTCCCCAACTAGGTTAAAAAGCAAAAGGGAAAGAAAACAACCCTATCTCAGACCCTTAGCCATTAGAATTTCACACTTATTATTCCACCTATGTCATCTAGTCCTGAAGCCCATTTTTTCCCATAATTTGAAGTAGAATTGGCCAGTCCATTGTGTCAAAGGTCTTCTTAAAGTCTACCTCAAACACTACTATCTTAAGACCTTTGTTTCTCCAATAGTCTATTCCTTCATTAGCAATGAAGGAACAATCCAAGATTTAGCGGCCAAGATTGAAGGCAAATTGGGAGGAACCGATTATGTCATTGATGCACATTTTTAATCTTCTTGAGAGAACTTTTGACAGTATCTTGTACAGAACGCCTACCAAACTAATAGCTCTATAATCATCCAGGTTGTCTGGGTTGAGCTTCTTAGGAATAAGAGTGATGAAAGTGTGACAAATTTCATGCTTCAACCTTTTTCCAAAATAAAAGTCCCTGAAGAATTTCACTATATCTTCCTTATGGATTTGCCAAAAAATTTTAAAGAACCCCATGTTCAAACCATCCAGGCCAGGGGCTTTGTTGTTATCACATAAACTGATCACTTCCCATATTTCTTCCTTTGAGAATTCTTTCTCTAGCAAGAGACTCTTATCGTTGGATAATCTATTGAAATTCAAATCCATGTCTTCTACTTCTTAAGTAGTCCTCGAATTATAAATTTTGAAGAAATAATCACATATGCATTTCTTGATGAGAGAAGGCTCATGAATGAGGTAACCCTTTATCCTCAATGATTTTATAGAATTTACTCTTCTTATAATAGAAGCACACAGATGGAAATATATGGAATTGAGATCCCCTTCTTTCACCTATTTGGATTTAGATTTCTGATATCATATTTTTTTCTTTTATATTGTATAGCCTTCATAATTCCTTCCTAAGCTCAACCAAAGCCTTAAGAGAGGTAGCAAAAACAAAATTTTGATCCAACATCTATTCTTGATCTTGAATTTTCTTCTCCAGTCAAGAAATGCAGTATGTCAATTGCAAATTTTTATTACGAAATTAGCTTTTAATGGCAATTTTAGTGCTTTTAAGCAAACTCAGGATTCACAATCTTCTATTCTTTCTTTTATACTCCAAAATAGCCAACTGCACCATATCAATAAAGCCCTCTTCCTCCATTAAGTAATTAAATAACTTGAACGACTTTTTACCCCCAATTAAAGCCACTATTTTCCAGCAAGACAACATTATGGTCTGAGATTGATTTTGGAAGATGATGTTGGGAGAAATATGGGAAACTAGAAATA